TGCACACTGTAGTATGTCATACAGACCCTGAAAGAAACATACTGAGAAAAACAACTAAAGGGTCGCAGGACAATTCAAGCGTTCCTTTAATATCACCAGCTTTGAATAGCGCTGTGGTGGTGAAAACTGGAAAGTAATAAAGGGTCGCTTGAAGTTTCCTGTGAGCGATCCCTTATTTGTTTCTCTCAGTATATATCCAATACAGCCCATGCTAGTCTAATGTGACACGTCTGGTTTACTGAAGTTTCTGAGAATGAAAAAACACCCCTCTCTCGGCTCCTTTGCATTATATTCTAGTAAGATAACTTAATTAAAAAAATCTGTAAACTATTTTCATTTCGGAGGCTAGATTACTCACAGTCCCTGAACCGCATTATTTTCCCAACAGTCTAACGCCCTAAATGAAAGGGTGAGTGAGTTTAGTTTTACGCCGCAATCAGCAAACCCAGCTATATGGCGGCGGTCTGTAAATATTCGGATCTGGACCAGACAATTCAGGGATCAACAGCATGAACATCAATCTACGCAATATTGGGATACGATGACATGTGTCAACCAAGTCAGCGAGCCTGACCACCCGATCCCGTTAGTCACCTCCTACGACAACTCTGCAGATCAATGCTAATTAACCCAGATCTTCACGGGTCCCCAAAATGAAGCAAGTCTAGATTCCTCCAGGATCTCCCATCTTACTGGGGCTCCTTTTCAATATAAATGTGATTATTTGTTACTATCAAAATTATAGAGAGAGAGAGACTAAGCGTTAGTCTAGCTGAATGTTTCATTTTAATGTCGGTATTACATTTGTAATTGGAAATTCTTTGTTCACCTTTAAAAGAAAAAAACTGTAAGTTCGCATAAATATTTCTGTCCATAGCTGCAAGAGAGTGCAAGAGTGAAGATGGCAGCTGGTGAGTAAGATGTGTTGTCTGCCGCTGAGAACAGTATTTCGGTAATACCACGGTACGCTCACTTCATGTCGGAGGAAAGGCAGAGTGGCTCAACCCTGAGACGTGACAGTTTTGGTGCAAAGATGATGTCACAAGATGTATTTCTGACCAACGTTGTGTGCGTGATGTATGTTGAATTTTAGTCGACTTCAAAGTGAAGGTTGAAGAAGGAGGACATATATGTCCCTCTGGCATCCAGTGGTTAAACCCCGTTAGGACGTGGAATATATTACACTATGGCCTGGAAGGTCATTCCGCATTCACACATGGGCCACACGTGACGCAACCTGTGCGCATCGTGTTGGTCACTTGTGTGGAATTTATACGCCACACGTACATTCTGTTTGGGTTTTTTGTTTTCAGTTAAACACCGCAATATTCCAGCTATATGACGTCGGTCTGCAAATAATTGAGCCTGGACCAGATAATCCAGTGATCAACACCTTGAGCATCAATCTACGCAATTGGGATACGCTGACATGTGTCAACAGTGTGCGAAATGGTTTCCAAATGTTGCTAGCCAGTCGGGCTAGCTATGCCTGAAAATTACTAGCCCCCAAAATAACTCACTATCCCGAAATTTGAATGTAGAAACTAAGCAAAAGGTTACACAAAGGTAAGCTGTTAATATGATTGACATTTTTATGAGGCCATAATCTTGCATCATTTAAAAATGTATTATAACTTAACAAGTAGGAGAGAGTGATATATTTACAAACTGAACCCATTAAAATTGACCTTCGGTAGCCCATGCTTGTCGTAAGAGGCGACTAACGGGATCAGATGGTCAGGCTCGCTGACTGGGTTGACACATGTCATCATATCCCAATTGCGTAGATCGATGTCCATGCTGTTGATCACTGGACTGTCTGGTACAGACTCGATCATTTACAGACCGCCGCCTTATAGCTGGAATATTGCTGATTGCGGCGTTAAACAACCAACCAACCAACCAACCAGCCAACCTATCCGTTATCCACGACTTGACACCTGATTCCATGCGGAGAAATGCCTCTTCTCGACTTGCTGTGTCCAAAGCAAATCCTTTCATCAGCTGGGAATCATCTGCACTGAAGTGATGGCGAATATTATGATCAATAAGTAAGCTTCCTAAAGTGCAAACTTTGATCTCAGCATCAGTATCACCAATCTTTGATCTCTGGATCAACCGTCTTAGATCTCTCCAACAGCAATCTTAGATCTTGCATAACCAATCTTTGATCTCTGGAACAACCGTCTTAGATCTCTCCAACAGCAATCTTAGATCTTTCATAACCAATCTTTGATCTCTGGATCAACCGTCTTAGATCTCTCCAACAGCAATCTTACATCTTGCATAACCAATCTTTGATCTCTGGATCAACCGTCTTAGATCTCTCCAACAGCAATCTTAGATCTTGTATAACCAATCTTTGATCTCTGGATCAACTGTCTTTCATCTCTCCAACAGCAATCTTAGATCTTGCATAACCAATCTTTGATCTCTGGATCAACCGTCTTAGATCTCTCCAACAGCAATCTTAGATCTTGCATAACCAATCTTTGATATCTGGAACCACCGTCTTAGATCTCTCCAACAGTAATCTTAGATCTTGCATAACCAATCATTTATCTCTGGAACCACCGTCTTAGATCTCTCCAACAGCAATCTTAGATCTTGCATAACCAATCATTTATCTCTGGAACAACCGTCTTAGATCTCTCTAACAGTAATCTTAGATCTTGCATAACCAATCTTTGATCTCTGGATCAACCGTCTTAGATCACTCCAACAACAATCTTAGATCTTGCATAACCAATCTTTGATCTCTGGATCAACCGTCTTAGATCTCTCCAACAGCAATCTTAGATCTTGTATAACCAATCTTTGATCTCTGGATCAACTGTCTTTCATCTCTCCAACAGCAATCTTAGATCTTGCATAACCAATCTTTGATGCCAGGAACAACCGTCTTAGATCTCTCCAACAGCAATCTTAGATCTTGCATAACCAATCTTTGATCTCTGGATCAACCGTCTTAGATCTCTCCAACAACAATCTCAGATCTTGCATAACCAATCTTTGATATCTGGAACCACCGTCTTAGATCTCCAACAGTAATCTTAGATCTTGCAACCAAATCATTTATCTCTGGAACCACCGTCTTAGATCTCTCCAACAGCAATCTTAGATCTTGCATAACCAATCATTTATCTCTGGAACAACCGTCTTAGATCTCTCTAACAGTAATCTTAGATCTTGCATAACCAATCATTTATCTCTGGAACAACCGTCTTAGATCACTCCAACAACAATCTTAGATCTTGCATAACCAATCCTTGATCTCTTGATCAACCGTCTTAGATCTCTCCAACAGTAATCTTAGATCTTGCATAACCAATCTTTGATCTCTGGAACCACCGTCTTAGATCTCTCCAACAGTAATCTTAGATCTTGCATAACCAATCATTATCTCTGGAACAACCGTCTTAGATCTCTCCAACAACAATCTTAGATCTTGCATAACCAATCATTGATCTCTGGATCAACCGTCTTAGATCTCTCCAACAGTAATCTTAGATCTTGTATAACCAATCTTTGATCTCTGGAGCAACCGTCTTAGATCTCTGCATCAGCAATTTTAGACCTCTGCGTCAGCAATTTTAGATCTCTGCATTAGAAATTGTTTAGACCCCTGTATCAGCAATTTCAGATCTCTGCATCACCAATCGTTGACCTCTGGATCAGCAATTTTAGATCTCTGCATCAGCAATTTTTGATGTCTGCATAAGGAATTTTACATCTCTATATCAGCAAATTTAGACCCCTGCAGCAGCAATTTCTGATCTCTGCATCAGCAATTTTAGATCTCTCTATCAGCAATTTTAGATCTCTGCATCAGTAATTTTAGATCCCTGCATCAGCAATTTTAGATCTCTACATCAGCAATTTTAGATCTCTGCATCAGCAATTTTAGATCTCTGTATCAGCAATTTTAGACCTCTACATCAGCAATTTTAGACCTCTACATCAGCAATTTTAGACCTCTGCATCAGCAATTTTAGACCTCTGTATCAGCAAGTGTAGATCTCTACATCAGCAATTTTAGATCTCTACATCAGCAATTTTAGATTTCTGTATCAGCAATTTTAGATCTCTGCATCAGTAAGTTTAGATCCCTGCATCAGCAATTTTAGATCTCTACATCAGCAAGTTTAGACCTCTACATCAGCAATTTTAGACCTCTGCATCAGCAATTTTAGACCTCTGTATCAGCAAGTGTAGATCTCTACATCAGCAATTTTAGATCTCTACATCAGCAATTTTAGATTTCTGTATCAGCAATTTTAGATCTCTGCATCAGTAATTTTAGATCCCTGCATCAGCAATTTTAGATCTCTACATCAGCAATTTTAGATCTCTACATCAGCAATTTTAAACCTAAACATCAGCAATTTTAGACCTCTGCATCAGCAATTTTAGACCTCTGTATCAGCAAGTGTAGATCTCTACATCAGCAATTTTAGATCTCTACATCAGCAATTTTAGATCTCTGTATCAGCAATTTTAGACCTCTGCATCAGCAATTTTAGACCTCTGTATCAGCAAGTGTAGATCTCTACATCAGCAATTTTAGATCTCTACATCAGCAATTTTAGATCTCTGTATCAGCAATTTTAGATCTTAACTCACTCACTGTCTGTCACCCACTAAACAAACATTCCAAAATGTGTATCAATAAATCATCACTTGTCATTAATACTGAATTATTGATGACATCATTCCAACCCACGAAGATCCAGGTTTCAATTGGTCTTAAGCAAACCCGTGATTGTTGTAATAGGCGACTAAGGGATTGAGTGGTCAGGCTCGCTGACTTGGTTGACACATGTCATCAAACCCCAATCGCGAAGATCGATGCTCATGCTGTTGATCACTGGATTGTCTGGTCCAGATTCGATTATTTACAGACACCATCATATAGCTGGTATATTGCTGAGTGTGGCATTAAATAAACAAGCAACCAAAGATGACATTATTCCACAAAATCTTTTAAAACCAAACAACTCTTATAATCTTGGTCATTTTATTTCTGTTTTGTCAATGAACACAGTAACTAACAATATAGACTATTGTTATTCAACAATAACTAACAATATAGACTAATAAATAACACGTATCCTATGGGATGTTGTATAATATTTGGCGTTCAAAAATATGCTGGCAGTGGTCAGAGAACATTTGCCACAGTTTCAAGCATAAGGCACCAGATGTTTGCGAACCTGTATTGTCACTTGCTTAGTAGACTCTCTGAAGGAAAGATGCATTGCACAAATCATGTCTGATCATAATATGTTGGATGTATTATCACAAATATCATATATTAACAAAATAAAACATTTGGAATCTTGCCTTAAAGCCGTTTTCAGTGTTTGTTCAAACTTCAAACTCAAATTAAATAATGTAACCAGTACATAAAAATTTGCACTGTTTAGTAGTTCATCTTGGTTTCAAGATATTCTTTTACACTTTTCATGTATCAATATTTCAAGTTAATATTGAACTTCTTTCTCCTTCAATGAGTGTAAATCCTTACTGGCAATTGTCAACTCTTCGATTCAGTGTTGTTTGAAGTAATATGGTACCATACAATATGTACTTAAAGAGTTACTTGAAGTGTGTCAATAACAACAATAATTTCACCCTGTAAAATCAGTTGGCATTGTATTTAAAGCATGTGGTCGTGTATGTTCTGAAACTAGCACTTAAATTCATCAACAGAGATAAAAATATGAAGAAAATAAATTTTCAGCTCAACAACAAATAACAGCCTTAATGTCGTCTATTCACAGACTAGACTATTTCCCATTTGGAACATTGTGACAAAAGTATATCACAAAATATACTGAAATGTTTGGAAAATAGTTCAATTCGTAACAATCATTTTAAAAAGATATCAGATACTTCATGAATAATGTGTAAAATATGTTTGTTCCCGACGGCACGTAAAACCGATTCATTGACAGTCGCGGCACCAATATGACGATTCTTTCATGAATATTGCACCACAGTAAAGATGTTTGTCGTATTTGTAAATTCACAAACTATTTTCCCTCCAGGCGTGAACAATTCCTAAGACTTTGGTGAACACTGATCACAGACCAGATTTGTAGAAGTTTTGTTTATTTTTTAACACAATATTAGAGTACAAAATTGGACAAAATAGAGAAGCCAAACTTATAAACATTTCCAAAAACATTTCATTCTAAAATAGTTTTCCGAATTCCCACAAATACAATTTTTAAAATATTTTAGTCAGGACAGAAGGATTTTGTAAGGATCTGTAAATTACTAATTTTTTTCAACGGTAACCTACAGTAGTACCTGTCGCCATGGTAATGTTGACTGCCTTGTCAGTGCTTCAGAGGTTATTTGGTTTTAGTCAGAGAGGCTAACCATTCCATATTATGGGGAAGCAGGCAGAGAAGTATTAAGCTGTCTCTGAAGAAACTATCCTTGCTAAAAATAATTAATTCTCAAATATCCTACACCAGACATATTCCTCACATGGGGAAGAGGCAGGTAAAATATTATTTAACTGTTTCTGAAAAAATATTCCTTGCTAAAAATGATTAATTCTCAAAAATTTTGCACCAGACGTATTCCTCACTGGTCATCCTGGATGTTTGGAGGAGTGTATTGTGATTATGAGATATTTTGTATCAAATTCCCAGGTTTCCGATACCCAGAGATATTAAACAGTCAGTTCCTGAACAATACATAATCTAAAAACATTCATAAGTTGTTTTTGCATTCCAAAAAATAACACTTAAACCAGTAACACTACTGATAGAACAACAATATATTCAATCTAACTTGACAAAAAACTTTAAACTCAATCGCCTTAATGATTTTCACATTCACCCTATTTTCTAATCTACACATCTTACCTATTCAGTTCAAAGGAGAATTAAATTCTTGACAAATTAGAAATAAAACAACCAAGAATGTTTACTTTTGCCAGGACAAGGTGTAACCGTCAGAAATGAATGTCAGAGAATCAGGCAGTTTATGGTCGAAGAAAATACCCAAAATAGCATACAGAGAAGTATGTAGTTATAACCTAGTTCTCTCTACAGCTACAAAGCCTACCCAATAGATTCTATAACTACGAGTTATCTTCAAAGAATATAATTTCCATAACAATCACCTACCCAACCATATACATGTATGTCCCATTATACAATATAAATAGTATTTATATTAATTCGCCAGACCAAGTAATTTCTGAATTTTTCGGTCTTTCACATACAGGAAGATTTACTGTTTTACATGAAAACACTGACACAAACTTCAATTGAATTAAACATTATTTTATGTCAGTACCTGGATTTCTTGTTCAAAAACAACTTTTCTGATATTTCTCAAAAACATTTATGAAAAAAGTTGCAAAACAGGAATGAAATTGGGTTAAACATCTTTTATCAACATTAGTAGCTTCATTTGTTTTTTACATTTCCTTTCAAATCGGTCATGGCTAATTACCAATATGAACCCCAATAATAATGCTTGTCTACAACTGATAATATAAATACCAAATACCAAATAATACACTAAGATGAAGAAAGTGTTGTTTGCTAAGAAGCAGATGAACATAGGTTAAAGCAACTGGAAATAAATATATTTGACAGTTGTTCTGAAAGCAGTACTAAATCTGACTGAAACTAATAAAGCAGCTAGTAATAAGAATGTCAAATGACAACAGATACCATTTAAAAAAATCTCAACATAAGTTGAGAACAGATTCTGAATTAACACTGATAGTTTTAGTTCTTAAGTATCAAATGTTTCAAGCTAATCTCTGACATTCTGGAATTTATTTTTTACGAAAAAGCCCAAATATCCTATGCCTAAAACAACACACAATTTTGTACTTTTTGTATCACACTTTCTCACACCTACTCAAGCTACTTATCAAAACAACTACTTTTAAATGTCCTTATCTGAGAACCAGTTTCTTACTTATCTGTTTCTTTTTAAAAAATACATGACATTATTGCTTTTGGCGTCCCCTTTTCAGCTTTTGGCTACGGAGGCAGGATTTTAGATCTGATGGTTGTCGCCTTTCATAAACACAAAACTCTCGAGTCAAGCCAAACTTCTAACACAAGTTTCTGTTTGAGTGTTTATCTGTTATGGATGCTGCTTTACAATAAAAAACAGCTCTCTAAATCAAAAATGAAATTTGGTTTTTTGAACTGCGAATCAAATTTTAAAGCATCATTTCTTAATTTCTTCCTTATATTTCTCAGTTACTAACCGAATGTCATTTATATCAAAACTTTACATTTTCTTTCAATAGCTGACCAATTCTAGTTTCCAAATTATTCACTGATCTTTTGAATAGTTTGCTTGTCTCTGATTGGCTGCAGTTATGCTAGCGCCGCCTGGAGGGAGGTGTACGTGCAGTTGGAACGGGAACAAAGCGGTTCTGGCTTAAAGAATTCCTGTATGTCCAAAGCCTTGCGACAACTCTCGCAAGTCTTTGGGCACATAGGTTTGTAAAGGTCAAGGCCATTTGATTTCCAGACATCAACAACATTGTCGACAAAGACGTCCATCATTTTACTAGTGTGATGGGGTGTGGGGGCCACACGCAGTCTCTCGGTGCCACGGGCGACTGTAGGGTAGTTGATGGCTTGGACGTAGATGCCGTGTTTGTTGATGAGCTCATTGGACACCTTGGTGCAGGTCTGGGCATCCCCCACCTGCAGGAGACAAAGTACCATACAGAAAATTACCTCACTATTTAAAGAGTTTTCCAGACGTTCCCCTTGCAATTTGTTCAATTTAGAGAACATGATTGGCTTCATTTTGGCAATAGATTACCGGTAACTCAAACAGTCGCGTAAGTGTTCTAGGAATATTAGGAAGTGTTAGGATGCTTGTATTGCCCCCCAAAGTGTCACCTACAGTTTAGTGATAGTAGATATTCATTGTAATGCTTCATTAGAGCTGGAGAAGTAGCCCCACAATCTTCTTTAAACTAGAGATATTTATATGTACAGGTACGTTACAACTGGGGCTTACATGGATAAGTAAGATATGACACACATGTACAGGTATGATATGATCACATGTATGGTACAGGTATGCTATGATCACATGTATGGTACAGGTATGCTATGATCACATGTATGGTACAGGTATGCTATGATCACATGTACAGGTATGATATGATCACATGTACAGGTATGCTATGATCACATGTATGGTACAGGTATGATATGATCACATGTACAGGTATGCTATGATCACATGTATGGTACAGGTATGCTATGATCACATGTATGGTACAGGTATGCTATGATCACATGTATGGTACAGGTATGCTATGATCACATGTATGGTACAGGTATGCTATGATCACATGTATGGTACAGGTATGATATGATCACATGTATGGTACAGGTATGCTATGATCACATGTATGGTACAGGTATGCTATGATCACATGTATGGTACAGGTATGCTATGATCACATGTATGGTACAGGTATGATATGATCACATGTATGGTACAGGTATGCTATGATCACATGTATGGTACAGGTATGCTATGATCACATGTATGGTACAGGTATGCTATGATCACATGTATGGTACAGGTATGCTATGATCACATGTATGGTACAGGTATGCTATGATCACATGTATGGTACAGGTATGCTATGATCACATGTATGGTACAGGTATGATATGATCACATGTATGGTACAGGTATGCTATGATCACATGTATGGTACAGGTATGCTATGATCACATGTATGGTACAGGTATGCTATGATCACATGTATGGTACAGGTATGCTATGATCACATGTATGGTACAGGTATGCTATGATCACATGTATGGTACAGGTATGATATGATCACATGTATGGTACAGGTATGCTATGATCACATGTATGGTACAGGTATGATATGATCACATGTATGGTACAGGTATGCTATGATCACATGTATGGTACAGGTATGCTATGATCACATGTATGGTACAGGTATGATATGATCACATGTATGGTACAGGTATGCTATGATCACATGTATGGTACAGGTATGCTATGATCACATGTATGGTACAGGTATGCTATGATCACATGTATGGTACAGGTATGCTATGATCACATGTATGGTACAGGTATGCTATGATCACATGTATGGTACAGGTATGCTATGATCACATGTATGGTACAGGTATGCTATGATCACATGTATGGTACAGGTATGCTATGATCACATGTATGGTACAGGTATGCTATGATCACATGTATGGTACAGGTATGCTATGATCACATGTATGGTACAGGTATGATATGATCACATGTATGGTACAGGTATGATATGATCACATGTATGGTACAGGTATGCTATGATCACATGTATGGTACAGGTATGATATGATCACATGTATGGTACAGGTATGCTATGATCATATGTATGGTACAGGTATGCTATGATCATATGTACAGGTATGCTATGATCACATGTACAGGTATGCTATGCTATGACTCACATGTACAGATATGCTATGACTCACATGTACAGGTATGCTATGATCACATGTACAGGTATGGTATGTCTCACATGTACAGGTATACTATGACCCACATGTTTGGTATGCTATGACCACATGTACAGGTATGGTATGTCTCATATGCACAGGTATGCTATATCTCAAGTGGAAAAGCAAGATATGACTTACATGGATAGGTATTATATGACTGGGGCTGTGCATGGCTGGGATCCCTTCATGAGTTAACTTCTCACGCAGATACAAGACATTGCTTTGATGACGAGCTCGGAGCTCTCGGCCTTCATCACTCGCCAACACCTGTTAATAATGAGGAATAGCATATTTATGTTACACATACATATTCTGTTCATGCGGGTGTGACAGTGGTATTTGTGGTTGTATGTTGTACAAAGGTGACACAACATCCTTCAAATACCTGCCATCTATGGTAACAGGTGAGGTGAGGTGAAATTGGGTTTTACGTCGTGCTTGAGAATATTTCGCTCATATGACGACGCTATGGTAACAGGGAGGTTGGCACTATGACATATCTTGTCATCTGTACAATATAGACAAACTTTACGGACAACAACTTCTTTATTTCGTGAGTGCGACATTTCGATACAGATTCTTATACTGTTGTCAAGCAGGGCAGTGGGTCACATGCCACTCAAAGAAATGTCATCTGCATGCAATAGGAAAGTCTGATGAGATGCAGGTCAAATGTGTACCTCTTTCGTTAAACCCCATGTGCAGAGGTATGACAAACTTAGAATGAGCGAGAATGTTTCACACCACGTTTAGCAATATTCCAGCTAGGAGAACAGCAGAAATGTGCTTCACATATTCTATCCACGTGGATACTCGAACCCAGGTCTTCAGCGTGATGAGCTGACACTTTAACCATTAGGCTACTAGTGCTTCCCCCCAGATCAAAAAAGGGCAGGGTGATATAATTTCAAAAGTCGCACCCCTATTCCAAAAGGGCATGTAATGACAGATTTCCAAATTATCCATGCATATGATTCTTAAAGGCTCAAAGAGCAGAGTTATTCCGCTTAACTTGAACATGAAATAGAAACTAAACTCCATGAAGTGTTAAAATCAATTATTGTATTTGCACCAAATAAACAGGGCAGGGCGCCAAATAAAATAGGCAGGGTGCTGCACCTTGCTAAATATGCCTTCAGGAAACACTAGCTACCACACTGCCCTGACAAGCTTAGATGGATATACAGGGCTAAACAGGTGCAGAAAGAACCAAGGGAGTGTCATGTAGAATTATGACAGAGTAAGTGCAATGGTTTAGAAAAATGACAATCAAGACCAATTCTATTTTGCCAACTGAGGCAAGAGCTCCACACAGTGTATCCAGAATTTTACTTACATCGATGGAAGCAAGAGCTCCTGACAGTGTTGTAGGAGGTAGGGCAGTGGTGAAAATGAACCCTGCAGCGTAACTCCGAACCATGTCGATGGTGTTTGCGGTGCCGACGATGTAACCACCCATATTTCCAAAGGCCTTGCCTGAAAACATATCAGTCTCCGTGATTTGGCAGATGTTTTATCAACAGTCATATATACAAAGAAAAAGTTGTCACAAGTATGACACTTTTTTCATTAGACACATTTGTAATTGAATTTAGAAATATCTGAGTCATACTGGGACAAGTGTTTGATATATTCTTAAACTGAGTAATAAAGTTACTTTTATGGGAACAACTGTTACCATGAAGCATAGGAAAGGAATGGCAAACAAATTGCCTTGAGGCTTACAACAATATATTTCATCTTGCAATTTAACAGTAAACACTGGAGTACCAATTTGTGCGTGTGAGGCCTCACTAAACTCAGAAAGAGATTATCATCTTCAAAATGTTGAAAACGTTAATTTAAGCAGCTTAATGATAATGTTTTGGTTAGGTAATCTAATGGGAAGCAGCTGCTCACCCTTGAAGAATGTGGAAAAAAGGACACAGGAACAATTTCGTGCAGCCTTCATGTCAGCATGTCTTAACTGACCTAACTGCATCATGAGTGAGTATGGTTTTATGCTGTTTTTTGCAATATTCCAGCAATAACATGGTGGAAGACACAAGTAATTGGCTACACAAACTGTACCACCTGGGGAATAGATACCAGGTTGTTGTATTGACGAGTGAACACTCTAACCACTAGACTACCCCATCACACAACAGATCTATGAAAATGCAGGTCTTACCAAGAGTTCCTGAGATGATGTCAAGTTTGTCAAGACACTCGTCTCTCTCAGCCACGCCAGCACCATGGTCGCCATAGAGACCGACTGCATGCACTTCATCCACGAAGGTCAAGGCCCCATACTTGTGGGCGACATCACACAGTTCTTTCAGAGGACTGATGGATCCTGTAGAAGTAAGACAACAGTTTGTCACATATCATTCAACCATTTGTCATGATAATGCCTTGCAATGTCGTATTTGTCCAGAGGTTTTGGACCTTATGGAGGCAGGAGATTTCAACAAAAACAATTGCTGCAGTATTGTGTTGAGAAATATTTCCTCCCCTTCCACAAATACACTCAAAACGTTCCAAAGGAGGAAACATTTTGGAAAGAAAGAATTACAGCACCTGTAATATTTTTTTCCTTCTAATCCATGCGGATAAGTTTGGATTTTTACAAACATCAAACTAATTCCGTAATTGATGAGTGAGTGAGTCTAGTTTTATGCCACACTCAGCAATATTCCAGCTATATGGAGACGGTCTGTAAATAATCAAGACCTAACATTCCAGTGATCAACATCATGAGCATCGCTCGATATAATAGGGATACAATTACATGTCAACCAAGTCAGCGAGCCTGACCACCCGATCCTACTGTTTGTCCCTTCTTATGACAAGTCACGCTTGTGCACAAAGAGAGGCGGGACAGATGTATGCTGTCTTAATACAATATTTATAATACATATCCACCAACATTAATGGTGACCAACCCAGCCATGGGTACTCACCATCCATGGAATGCACGGTTTCAAATGCAACAATTTTGGGGACACTGGTATCCACTTTCTTGAGAAGCTCCGCGAGATGGTCAGGGTCGTTGTGACGGAATATGTGCTTGGGGACGCCACTTGTCCGGATTCCTGCGATCATGGACGCATGGTTACCGGCATCGGAGAATATATGGCAACCTGGAACAGAATAGACAGTTTTGTAGAATATTAAACAAAGTAACTGGTGTGAGAGGATTTGCTTGGTGCTGTTGATTGATATGTTCAGAGGAATTAAAACATATACTTGACAAAAATAGTAAGGGATATATGCAAATTTTGAAATAATGAATAATGATCTATTTATTCATTGACACACTGATAAAATAGCAATCATTAAAATACCGATATCCCTAACTTATTTTGTCCAGTATATGATCATTTTGCAATGACATCAACATATTTCTTCATCTGTTGTGTGTGTGAGTCAGATATATGACAGTATATCAGTAACACATGTCAGTTATATTACAATATATCAGTTATAACATAGTCAGCCATTTACATCACAGAATCAGTTACGCAACAGTATCTCAGGTATAAACAAGTGTGTCAACTGTACAACAGTACATCAGGTATATCACAGTTCTTCAGTCATACCATACAATATCAAGTATATCACAGTATGTCAGATATATCGCAGTATATCATGCTGTATCACAGCGTGCAGTTGTGTCATAGTGCATCAATTAATTCACTGTTACCTTAAATTCATCAATTTAACTTTATTGAGTGGCCTTTAGATTTAACGTAAGCGATATTTCGTGGTACCTGATTAATAATAAAGAAGTTGTATATCCATAGAACTTTCCTCGTTAAATATATCACAGTATGCCAGTTATACAACAGTATGCCAGTTATATGACATTATGCCAGTTATACATTATGCCAGTTATACGACATTATGCCAGTTATGCGACAGTATGCCAGTTATACGACAGTATGCCAGTTATACGACAGTATGCCAGTTATATCACAGTATGCCAGTTATACGACTGTATGCCAGTTATATCTAAGTATGCCAGTTATATCACAGTATGCCAGTTATACGACATTATACCATTTATATCACAGTATGCCAGTTATATCACAGTATGCCAGTTATATGACTGTATGCCAGTTATATCTAAGTATGCCAGTTATGCGACAGTATGCCAGTTATACGACAGTATGCCAGTTATACGACCGTATGCCAGTTATATCACAGTATGCCAGTTATACGACTGTATGCCAGTTATATCTAAGTATGCCAGTTATATCACAGTATGCCAGTTATACGACATTATACCATTTATATCACAGTATGCCAGTTATATCACAGTATGCCAGTTATACGAAAGTATGCCAGTTATACGACATTATGCCAGTTATACGACTCTATGCCACTTATATCTAAGTATGCCAGTTATATGACATTATGCCAGTTATACGACAGTATGCAAGTTATACGACAGTATGCCAGTTACATGACTGTATGCCAGTTATATCACAGTATGCCAGTTATATGACATTATGCCAGTTTTACAACTGTATGCCAGTTATATCTAAGTATGCCAGTTATATCACAGTATGCCAGTTATATGACATTATGCCAGTTATACGACATTATGCCAGTTATATCTAAGTATGCCAGTTATATCACAGTATGCCAGTTATATGACAGTATGCCAGTTATACGACATTATACCAGTTATATCTAAGTATGCCAGTTATATCACAGTATGCCAGTTATATGACATTATGCCAGATATATCACAACATGTCAGCTTAAAAACGATACAGGTACATCCTTAATGGTACACATTGTGAAATCTACTAGTCCAGGTATGATGCTGACAAACATACATCATCACAAGGAACCATCATCAGCTGAATCCCCCACAGACACACAAGAAAACCAGCATACCTGGAAGTGCTTTGAGCAGAGTAAAAAGTGTTGAGTCATTGGCCACATAGCAGGAGGTGAAAATGAGGCCAGCCTCTTTCTGGTGTAGTTCAGCCAGACGTTGCTCAAGACGTTCATGTAGTGGGGAATTGCCAGAGATGTTCCTGGTCCCGCCAGCACCTGCCCCATGCTTTTCCAGCGCTGTCCTGTGAGTCATAGAAATGTGTTTCAAACAACAATAGAGTCATATACACATATCCTGACACTGTCTTGAAAATCTTGAAGACATGCCTCATACTTTCACATTAAAAAAAAGCCAAACAAGATCTTAGAGCTATCTTCAGAACGTCATGGTCGTCAAAGTAGACATCAATAAATCTCTCCTTTACTACAAGAGCTGTTGTCTCAACAGATTTCACATACATGGTCCAGATAACAACTTTAGCCCTACTACAGTCGTAAGTCTATGTTACGGTATTGGAGTTACGATCACCTAAGCCCTAAGATTGCTTTGTACAACAGCACCATTTCAGAAACTTACCTGACAGCATTGCACACGTTAGGATGCCAGCTCATGCCTAGATAGTCATTGCTGCACCACACGGAGATGTCCTTCTTGCCGTCTGAGTGCTCCTGGGCAAAGGGAAACGCATCTGCGTTCCGCATCACTTTCTTGAAGATACGGTACGAGTGATCCTTTTTCTTCTTGTCAACCTCAGTGGCAAAGAAAGCTTCATAGTTGAAGAATCCAGGGGGATTACCTGCAGGACAAGAGAAGTGGGTAACTGAAGAAACACTACATTAAACAGTATTTATCTGCTTAATGTGGGACAAAGGACCCAATCTGATGGAGGTTCTGACATTGACCACATTGGTGGAACCCAGTCCTAGACTTATGAAGCTTCATAGTTCTTTAGTGAACCAATGTATGCTTAGTGATGTTTCTTCTAACCTGTCCTTCTTTGACGTGTCCAAAACTGCCCATGTGGCATGACCCACCAATACTACACTCATACCTTATCTGCAATTCTTTCTGCTGGTGGTCATCAATGTGTCTACAACTGCCCACATGGCATGACCCTCCAATACTACACTCAGACCTTTCCTGCCCTTCTTCCTGCTGGTAGTCACCAATGTGTCTACAACTACCCACATAGCATGACCATCCAATACTACACTCAGACCTTTCCTGCCCTTCTTCCTGCTGGTAGTCATCAATGTGTCTACAACTACCCACATGGCATGACCCTCCAATACTACACTCAGACCTTTCCTGCCCTTCTTCTTGCTGGTAGTCATCAATGTGTCTACAACTACCCACATAGCATGACCATCCAATACTACACTCAGACCTTTCCTGCCCTTCTTCCTGCTGGTAGTCAGCAATGTGTCTACAACTACCCACATGGCATGACCCTCCAATACTACACTCAGACCTTTCCTGCCCTTCTTCCTGCTGGTAGTCATCAATGTGTCTACAACTACCCACGTGACAATGATCCTCCAATACTACACTCAGACCTTTCCTGCCCTTCTTCCTGCTGGTAGTCAGCAATGTGTCTACAACTACCCACATGGCATGACCCTCCAATACTACACTCAGACCTTTCCTGCCCTTCTTCCTGCTGGTAGTCATCAATGTGTCTACAACTACCCACGTGACAATGATCCTCCAATACTACACTCAGACCTTTCCTGCCCTTCTTCCTGCTGGTAGTCATCAATGTGTCTACAACTACCCACATGGCATGACCCTCCAATACTACACTCAGACCTTTCCTGCCCTTCTTCCTGCTGGTAGTCATCAATGTGTCTACAACTACCCACGTGACAATGATCCTCCAATACTACACTCAGACCTTTCCTGCCCTTCTTCCTGCTGGTAGTCATCAATGTGTCTACAACTACCCACATAGCATGACCATCCAATACTACACTCAGACCTTTCCTGCCCTTCTTCCTGCTGGTAGTCAGCAATGTGTCTACAACTACCCACATAGCATGACCATCCAATACTACACTCAGATCAATGTGTCTTTCCTGCCCTTCTTCTTCTGCTGGTAGTCATCAATGTGTCTACAACTACCCGCGTGGCATGACCCTCCAATACTACACTCAGACCTTTCCTTCCCCTTCTTCCTGCTGGTAGTCATCAATGTGTCTACAACTACCCACGTGGCATGACCATCCAATACTACACTCAGACCTTTCCTGCCCTTCTTCCTGCTGGTAGTCATCAATGTGTCTACCATTGTAGTCATCGTGACAATGATCCTCCAATACTACACTCAGACCTTTTCCTGCCCTTCTTCCTGCTGGTAGTCAGCAATGTGTCTACAACTACCCACATAGCATGACCATCCAATACTACACTCAGACCTTTCCTGCCCTTCTTCCTGCTGGTAGTCATCAATGTGTCTACAACTACCCACATAGCATGACCCTCCAATACTACACTACACTCAGACCTTTCCTGCCCTTCTTCCTGCTGGTAGTCATCAATGTGTCTACAACTACCCACATAGCATGACCATCCAATACTACACTCAGACCTTTCCTGCCCTTCTTCCTGCTGGTAGTCAGCAATGTGTCTACAACTACCCACATGGCATGACCCTCCAATACTACACTCAGACCTTTCCTGCCCTTCTTCCTGCTTCCTGCTGGTAGTCATCAGACCTTTCCTGCCCTTCTTCCTGTGTCTACAACTACCCACATGGCATGACCACTCCACCATCAACCTTTCCTGCCCTACACTCAGACCTCTTTCCTGACCATCCAATACTACACTCAGACCTTTCCTCTTCTTCCTGCTGGTAGTCACCAATGTGTCTACAACTACCCACATGGCATGACCCTCCAATACTACACTCAGACCTTTCCTGCCCTTCTTCCTGCTGGTAGTCAGCAATGTGTCTACAACTACCCACATAGCATGACCCTCCAATACTACACTCAGACCTTTCCTGCCCTTCTTCCTGCTGGTAGTCATCAATGTGTCTACAACTACCCACATAGCATGACCCTCCAATACTACACTCAGACCTTTCCTGCCCTTCTTCATGCTGGTAGTCATCAATGTGTCTACCATTGCCCACGTGACAATGATCCTCCAATACTACACTCAGACCTTTCCTGCCCTTCTTCCTGCTGGTAGTCAGCAATGTGTCTACAACTACCCACATAGCATGACCATCCAATACTACACTCAGACCTTTCCTGCCCTTCTTCCTGCTGGTAGTCATCAATGTGTCTACAACTACCCACATGGCATGACCCTCCAATACTACACTCAGACCTTTCCTGTCCTTCTTCCTGCTGGTAGTCATCAATGTGTCTACAACTACCCACATGGCAATGACCCTCCAATAATACACTCAGACCTTTCCTGCCCTTCTTCCTGCTGGTAGTCATCAATGTGTCTACAACTACCCACGTGGCAATGACCCTCCAATACTACACTCAGACCTTCCAATCACAGCACCTGCAGTCCACTCACCTCCATGCGGCCCCGACCCTTTCCCTCTCAGGAACTTGAGGGTCTCTCCTAGACTCCATCCTGGCACTCCACTGTAACCAGAGTCCTTCTCCACAGTTGTCTCCCCCTGCATCTCCACATTCATATCTCCAGCAGCATGGTCTGCAACATTCCTGCTCAGTCCGGAGTTGTCCTTGGCAGCAGCCATGTTGTTGACATCATCTAGAACATCAATAGGGAGTGAGTGAGTGAGCATGCTCTTACAGAGGATTTTCAACAAAAAATCACAGCAGGGGGCACTGACATTTGGCATTATCAGTCATACTTATGTAGAGTGAGTGAGTGAGTGAGTGAGTGAGTGAGTGAGTGAGTGAGTGAGTGAGTGAGTGAGTGAGTGAGTGAGTGAGTGAATTTAGTTTTACGCCACACTCGGCAGGATTCCAGCTATATGGCAGCGGTCTATAAATAATCGAGTCTGGACCAGACAATCCAGTGATCAACAGCATGAACATCAATCTACACAATTGGGATACGATGACATGGTCAACCAAGTCAGCGAGCCTGACCACCCTCTTACAACAAGCATGGGTTAGTGAAGATGAATTCTAACCCGGATCTTTACGGATCAGTGAGCTTTGGATGTTTTGGATATAGTGGGTGAATTGTTGTAATGGCGTAAGTGAATGGGTATTGATGGATGAGTGAGTGAGTGAGTGAGTGGGTGCATGAGTGCATGAGCTTGTTTCTCGCTGATCTTATCACAACTCTCAGAATACAAGTTTACTGTTTAAGATTTTAGTATGGCGTGATGAGCTAACGAGTTACCCACTAGGCTATCCCTCCACCCCAATGGCACAAGGAATGCTCATATACCAACAGAAAATGAAATTAAGATTTGAGTTTTACTAAATTCTAAATATTTTAATATCATACCAAATTCGTTAAATTTGATGCTGCAGACCCATAAACCAGATTAAAAATAAAATCCTCTATAAATTGCTGGCAGAATCTGACCTTCTCTGTTGATGGTGATGATGTCCTTCTGGACAGCTGGGCTGGCTTCCTGAACCTTCATCTCGTTGGCCAGGAAAGGACACTTGGTTGTCCCGGCAACCTCAGCTGCAAGATCATATCAGTGTTGATGTGAATACAGTGAGTGACTAGGCTTTGGACACAATTCCTATCACATCACAGTATATTAGTTTAATGAGGATATAAAGCCCAAAATGACAGGTACCACATGATGCAGATTAGGCCCCCGCAAAAAATATGTCCGTTTCCTATTACATGCTTTTTAAAAATAGGGTAGGTGGGTCGGTTTTATCTTCTTTTTTTTACTTTTTATTTTATTTTATAGTAGCATCAGGTGGGCACCTGAGGTCTTCAAGAATACCATATCATGTAGTGACAATGCCTTGTGATGAAACATTGAAAGATTTCTATATCATTATTTATGTTATATATTTGCAGATTTGGTCAGTGAGGACCCATTATGCCAATTCAATGCAATCCACTTTAGCCCTACACACACTGAAAAACATGAAAATATCATAATCGATTTCGATGAAAATGACGAGTTGAAATGCACACCAGTCATGATATTGACTAGGTTAAAAAAAAATTTAGGGTCGGGGGGTTAGGATGGGGTCGGTTGGGTTACTGGAAACGGACATATTTTTTTTCTTGGCCTTAAGCATCATAAGTAGGACACAATTTAGGATTCAACTCTAGCTTAGGCAGACTGAATGGAATGCACTGACTTCTACTGCCAGGCCTAAGGAGGTCAATAATGATGATAGTTATGAGGATTTCAGGATGAACCAACACAGCATCAGTTAGGAGGGCTCATTTTCATTTGTGACAAAAATTTATTTTATTATTTGTTAAGCATACATAAACTGGTGAAAGAAGAAGTGACAGTTAATGCTTGGGCGTCAAGAAGCCTGCCTTCATCTGTCATTTATTTCACCAAATGAGTTGCTCTAATCTTAATAAATGTCGAAATATTTTCAGCATAAATACTGACTAAAACTCACAAAAATAAAACCAAATGTTTTACACAGAATATGACAGTATCGTAAGATGAAACACACATGTTACAGTACAGCGTCTTCTGGAAATTTCAAATACATTTACAGGGCCATTAAGTACATTTTTTGACAACTTAAAGCATTTTCTAAACAAAAAGGTCAAAATTTAAAATACTTGCATTGCAAAAAACATATGTATTGAAGTCCCATCACAAACTAAACATATAAACCCAATTTCTTCGCATAGTAATGACCATAAATAAACATTTTCAATATGTCTGCCACAATAGCCATATTGAAAATCAGATATGAACCGAAGAGCTGTTCGAGTTATGGATTTTGTATGAAAAATAAGTAAGGAGAACATAACACAGGTGATGAAGAACCCTCGACATAATTGAATAACAAAATAAGTAAATAAACATGATACATATTTTCAATGAATATGAACTATGTTTCAGTCTCACCTTCCTTGGCGTCAACCTCAGTGGTCATCATGCTGGCCGAGGAGTACTGGAAGGCGTGGATCATCACTGGACAGCGGTTGGCATAGCTCAGGAGTTGCTGGGGAAACTGTCTCAGGTTGTTGACAGGGATCTTGGTCAGAAACGGACATGCCAGACGTTTCATGGTGCTCTGAAAATAGTCTCAGATTCAAATCTGTGCCACAGAACCTGGCACAGTGAGTGAGTGAGGAACTCAAGGGGGGGAACACCAGAAATGGACTTCACACATTGTACCCATGTTGGTAATCAAACCTGGGTCTTCAGCATGACAAGCAAACACTTTGATCACTAGGCTACGCACCGTCCCATATCCTGGCACAGATAAAGGATACAACTGTGTACAGTTTTGTACATAGTTCTGCACACAGGTGCAAGGGTTATCACAAGTGCATGCTTAAGTACGAGATACCAAGGAGTTCTTGAAAGTCATTTAGAAGTAGGACTAACATGAATATAGGACACTTTTATGGATAAAAAGTTATCCATAAAACATGTTGTGTCTTCGTGATTCCAGGGTCCTATAAACCTGGTATTGCGATCAGATAAACTGTCAAACCAGTGGGATAAACTTGGGTTTAATATTTATCTTACCACCTTGTTAACCATTAAGCATAATTTGTTATTGATAAACATAGCATAGGTTTGTTGTGAAAAAACAATTTGTTTATGTTAAAGCTCTGTGTATCACATACATCTAAAGTCAATGTTTATATACATTATACAACACTGTTTTGCTGTTGGAAACTTGAAACAGAGATTGCAGAGATTGGCAAAATGTCTGGCCATGACAGTGAGATATTAATTCATCCATTAAAAAACACTGTGAAACTGGGTAAACAGAAATTTATCAAAACATCCCTGACATAATATTCAAGTATTTACATGTATGATTATACATAGAATGAAAACTAGAGTGTGGAGGATATTACTCTGATATATATAGAGAGAATCTCACCCAAGTGCCTACTGATATCAATTATATCAACACGAGTTGATAAAGTTACAAATATCCGAGGCTTGCCGAGGATATTTTTACCTTTATCAACGAGTGTTGATATAATTGATATCAGTAGACACGAGGGTGAGATTCTATTTATCATCAAAAATCATTCTTCATTAGTTTTCAATCACAAATGTACATCTCTCAACACTGTACTACCATTAGACTTGCAGAGCAGCGATGTCATAGCATTGTGACGTCATCAAGTTGATGACGTCATAGCATTGTCAGGGTAATGTACAAAATCTACTGTCAAAACGATATCTCCTGGGAAATATCATATGATCTTACACAAGCGATATCTCCTGTGGAACACAGTTTTGGATGATAAATCAATCATCTTTAACTGAAAATCAATCGATTAGTGAGTGAGTGAGTTTAGTTTCATGCTGCATTACCACTTGAAATGGGCTTCACACATTTAACCCATGTGGGGAATCGAACCCAGGTCTTTAGCATGATCAGCGAACACTTTAACCACTAGGCTACCCACTGCCCCATCAATCGATAAAATACAAATAGTGGAGAAGTAACTTTGAGCAAAAATGCCCCCAAAATCTAAAGAAATCAACCTATTTCACATCACTGGTGACATGTTTAGTCACGGATTACTGACAAAACAGCATCCAGAATATATCTTAGAAGCAGCCAATGAATATATGAATTTTTATGTCATTATTAATTTTTCCTATCGGCGATATATTTCCAATTATCGATAATTTAGCCATCGATAATTACTGTTCTACAAAAGTGTTATGTATGAGTTCGAACATACCACTCAACATTTGCCAAGGATCAAAATAGTCACCTTCAGTCAAAGGAGGATCCTTAACAAATTTTGAGGAGAATAAAAAAATCATGATGAAAACGTGCTCCAGCTCTTAAATTAAACTGCAACATCAGCGGTTATAAAGGCATCTTTTGTACATGACTCTGGGTCAGTATCATAACCTTTTTAACACAGCAAAATGAAAATAGTAATTAAGAAATCATTTTTCAAAATGTTATACAGTTAATATGACATTTCAAAGCTCCACTTTTCAATATAACTGACAAATATTGAATAGAGCTGTTGTGCCATATCACGTGTATTGACTAATTCAAAGGTCTGTATTTCAATACAACTTATAACAACAATACACCTATTGATTGCAAAAAGGCCGTTAATTAACATGATATGAGTAAATGACTTCACGTCATTGAGTGGTCATGCTGATACTAGCGACAATACAACTAATCTCACCTTGATAAGGCAAACAGCTGGTGATGCTGATACAAAACGAATCTGAAATATACAAGAAACGGTGATAACGGAATTCTATGGTCATACTATAAACGTGTGGCACTAATGAATGTAATATAACAGACAGATAGCTATTTACCTGTACACTTCTGTGGGATGGACCTGGATATTAAACAGTTTGTGAAAATCGAGATCTGAGATATGAACTACAGGCCACTCATCCATAGTCCTGTAGTCATAGGTGTGGCAATTTGTTTTACACAGACACTTTTACAGTTTATTAAAAGCTAATAATATTTTCATCCTAATCCAGTTAGACACATCAAGCCCATATATTACTTCTTTGGTGTTATTTCTTGTTTCAAAGCTATCAAAGAAATTAAAGATGCTCTAAGGTAGGATATAACAAAAATGCCTTTTCATGTAAAAATTTGTTTTCATGACAAAAATCACAAAATTCAATAACATGGTTAATTCCCCCAAAGGGTTGAATACGTTGCTTTCTTTCAAATACAATATTTTCATTTTTGTTTTAAAACATTTTCAAAATGTATGGTCGACTCTTCAATATACAATGAAAACAATTGGCCTGGCATTTAGACTTTGATAAAGTTTGGCATGTTTCGCATAACCTGTATTTCTTCAAAAAAAAGGGCACTTTTTGTTTGTTTTAAATTTGTGCTAAAAAAGAGAGCTTGTCTGTGAAACAAGAAAATATATTAGTCTCACCTAAACAGGAATACAACATGAACTCTTACCATATTCAAATTACGTTTTCTAACTATCATCAACACAAACTGTCACTTCACAAGGTAGTCCAGGCTTGTCACACTCCAGAACAAATGACACAAAGTGCTACAACATTCTCACTTATATAGGTATGGTGTATTGACCAATCAGTGTCTCCCGAGGAATGGGCTTTCCTATGAAGCAGTAAGTTTCGGTAAATGAAACATATGAAATGATCTCTGAATATATTCATTTCATGTATTGAAACCAATTCACAATGTTTTGCAGGCTGTTCAAGCCATAGAGTGCCATAACATTCTCACTTTAATCGGTACAGTATATCGTCTTGTCAGTGTCTCACCAGGAACTAACTTTTCCATGAAACAGTCAGTTTTGGAAATAAGAATTACAAAATTAACGCTTACTACTTTCTGTTTTAGTGTTGTTTCATTTCACGCTGACTCACAATTGTTGCGTAAAGCTAAGAGTGGTCTCCATTTTGGTTTAAATTGATAGTCAGAATATCCATGACAATTACACAATGATAGTTTTATTATTTTTTTTAAAATATAATATTTGTGTTTGTGTTTTGTTTGTTGCAATTAGAAATATTTGAGCAAACTGACAAGTCTGGTCCAGACAATCCAGTGACTGACATCATCAGTTTTTGCAATTTGGTTTGGATGACATGCACAAAACAAGTCAGTAAGTCTGACCACTCCATCTTATTAGTCATTTCTTACGACTAGCATGGGTTGCTGAACTAGTTCTGAACTAGATCTTCCTGGGTTGTCTTTTTAAGGTGTGTTTGAGAGCATTGATATGTTTAAGCATGGCTTTTAAGAAATTAAGAGAACCAGAAAATACTTTTCAAGAATAAAAAATGGTTGTTAAAAATGTGTTCATTGAGCACATTTGTAAGATCATCATTGTCTTTGTGAGTGAGTGAGTTTTTAGTTTGCCGCATTTAGCAATACTTCGGCAAAATCATGGTGGGGGACACCAGACATGAGCATCACACATTGTACCTATATTGATCAAACATGACGATCGAATGCTTTAACCACAAGGCTACCCCACCACCGACATTGTCTTTGTGAGTGACTTGGGGTTTGCGCCACTTTGAACAGTATTCAGAATTCTAACATTTATGACTTTGGTGAAATCCACAAGTAATGGCAAACCAAGATTCAAACTCATAATCATAAGGTTCTGGTGGATCAAAGGGATGCAACTCTGCACAGCAAACTCGGCCACATGCCCCAAACTGTATATGTGATTGTCTGGTTTACTTGTACTAGACTATTTCTCCGTACTTACATATTTGGATCTGTCACAAGGTACCTCCCTTCCTACGGTCACGAGGAACTTACAGTATTTCAACTGTGCCTTATTCATAAAGGAATTTCATCTTCTGGATGCTCAATTGTGCACAATAAGAAGTCTTTTTATTACAGTTCTTTTTAACAAGTTTTAAGAGCAAGGCGGTAGCTAAGTGTCAAGAGTGGCATTGACAGTTTTACATCTCACGACCTCACGATCGCTTGTAGCATATCATTTATTACTGAGTGTGCTGTATTACACAGTCATTCAAACTTGATATGACATGGACTGTAGGGAGTGTGCAAGTGAATGTCGTTTCAGTAACACCATAATATTATTATTATTATAATCTATTTATATAGCGCCGAGTGCCAGCTAGGCTGCTCACAGATGTTTTGTTTTTCCCTTGATCATACGATGTCAATCTCAACGGCTCTTTGTATTATCAATCCTAGCTCCCTGGGGATCATACAACTCGTGCATCCACTAGGCGCACCAAGTTAATGTGGCTTTCCCATCCTTAATATGTGTGGTAGCTTAGTGGTTAAAGTGCTCGCTCATCACACCAAAGGACCATGTTCAATTCTCAATGTCTGAAGTGTTCAGTGTCTAATGCTGACACTTTCCAGGAAGGTCGATCAATTACTGTGGACAATTATTTCTGCTATTCTTCTTGAATCATATTACTTTTTCACGTATATGTAATTTACTTGACTCTATTCAATAACGAAGGCATATGACTTTATGAATGACAAGTTTATACTTATTGCATGGAGTGACATTTTGATGTAGATTCTCACACCGTTATCAAGCTATTACACTTTTAGCCTGATAATGGTGTCAGAATCTACATCGAAACATCTCTCCATTCAACAAACAAGAAGTTGTCATCTATAAAGTTGTATGCTTCGGTATTGACTCACCAACTAGAATGCTGATCAAACGATTCTATTCATTGTTTGTGTGTGAACTAGCAGTGTGGCACCTGCAAGGCCTAGTTGTCTGTGAACCTCTGGCAAAGTGAAGCTCAAATATTGAAGTAAAAGAGAAAATATAATCTTCCAGTTATATGAATCGTTCGGCAAGCATCTGAACATAACACGCTACTTACGCTTAAGTTTTATTCCATTCAATCAAGCGTCCGCCCCTAGAGCGGAAGGTCATACCAAAAGACGTCGTCATATGAGCGAAATAGTCTCAAGCACGACGTTAAACCCAATTTTACCTCACCTCACCATTCAATCACATATGCACTTGTTTACACGATACATGAAAGTACTTGTGACAAAATTGTCAAATTGAAAGTTTATATTTTATCAGCTTACACAAACACTACCGGTAGGTCTTATCACATATCCGACATGTTTGAATGATTTCAGCATTTGTCGGTTCTCTTGGATTTGTACAACTTCACTTCCCTTCCCCATAAGTTTCATATTATATTCAAAGATCAATATTCTAAGAAGAAGGTGGTGGAGTAGCCTTCGGGTTAAAGCGTTCATTCATCATGGCGAAGACTCGGGTTCGATGCCAAACATTGTACAAGGTGTGAAGCCCATTTCTAATGTCCCCCACCATGATTTTGCTGGAATATTGCTAAAAGCAGCGTAAAACTAAACTCACTCACTAACTGAAAAGAAACGGAAAACTTACAAGCATAAATGATAAATATATTAACAATTAGAAGTAAGCAGATACATCATATTTCTGACACATTTCTTCCATGAATAATAGAACCAGTTTGTATACCCACCTACCAAAATACATCCCATTATCTTAAGTGAGGTGATAGGGTTTCATAAACATCTGGTATTAATCAGTATTAAAATGCAATCATGGTTGCCAAAGCTTAATCAGTTGTTGTTGTGGCGTCTTGTGTTACAGCAATACCACACTGCAGACAGATATCTTATGCTAATATGTAAGCATAATTTCTTTTTGTTTGTTTAATGCCGCACTCAGCAATATTCCAGCCTGTAAATAATTGAGTCTGGACCAGACAATCCAGTGAGCAACAGTGTCAACCAAGTCAGTGAGCCTTAAAAGTATTTCATATAATAGGGCACTCAATGCTATTGGTAGTCTGTATCCGGGTTTTACATGATGCAAGTATGGGTCTGGCACACACAAATACAGATGAGGGACACAGAAAACTATAAATACTGCATCCAGAGAGATGTTAACAAACACCAAGAGCCTACCTCCAGCGTAGTAATCTGTGTGTGTTGTTTCACCCATGACTACTCTCCACATGTTCACTGATGCATCCCAGCTCTTATCGTATTTATCTTAACTTACACTACACTACACTACACTACACTACACTACACTACACTACACTACACTACACTACACTACACTACACTACACTACACTACACTACACTATTTAAGTACTTTACAGGACTCTCATATTACTAGTGGTGTAACGATTCATCGATAGTATCGATGTTTGCATCGTCAACTACGCGATACGAGTGCATCGATACAAAACACATTTAGGCAATATATCAGGATATTTATATCGCAAGGGTCCACGATACATCGATGTATCGCCACATCCCGATACAACTTCAATACTAGTTAAAGTTGTAAGGAGTATTGCATTAGGAATAGGAAGGGAGTCTCTTTGAAATTCTTCTGAATTTTAAAAACAAATTGAACCTTTTAGGAATTTGTTTGTGTCTGTTATCTTTGTTACATGGACAAAGGAGTTGGTGTATAAGTGAAAGAGTGTGAGCATGTTTCAAACTCTGTGAACTGTAGAATACTTGTCTTTAGTAATTGAAATATGTTTTAGTTGTTTGACAAATAACACCATTTATTAACATACACGAACAACGTCTTAGCTTTGTTAAGAAAGAGAACAAAGAGAAGATAAAATTTAGAAAGCATACTAAGAGTTTTTTTCAGTGATTCTGAATTCTGATATAAATTACATTCAATTGTTTGTGAAAGCATCGGTGCAGAAACACACTTTCCCAAAGGAAACTTGGGTTTCAAACTTATATATGTTAGATCAAAGTATACTGAATATGTTTGACTACTTTAAAAGCATTAAATGATGAAACTTTATTAAATGAACAGCTTTTTAAGTGTGTGTGAATGTAACACAAGATCTGCTGTATAACAAATAAAGATTCAGTCATTTTATCTATCATATATGTTCTGCTATTAGAAATATAAAGTATCGGGATACGTATCGTATCGCCACCATTGTATCGTGATGATAATTGTCTCGCAGGTTCCTTGCCAATACTTTCATGAAATATCGGCTTGCCTAAGTAAACTGGTATCGGGATATATCTTCTCGCCACTTAGACCACGATAAACAGCTCTACATATTACCAGCAAGGACCCATATAATGTATTGATGTAGATCCCCCGGTGGACACCACTGAGTGAGTGAGTGTGTGAGTGAGTGGACGTGGGTGCGTGAGTGAGTGGACATGGGTGAGTGAGTGAGTGGACGTGGGTGCGTGAGTGAGTGGACATGGGTGAGTGAGTGAGTGGATGTGGGTGCGTGAGTGAGTGGACATGGATGAGTGAGTGAGGCAGTGAGAGGACGTGGGTGGGTGCGTGCGTGAGTGAGTGAGTGAGTGAGTGAGTGAGTGAGTGAGTGAGTGAGTGAGTGAGTGAGTGAGTGAGTGAGTGAGTATGATTTTACGCCGTTTTTGCGCCACTTTTAGCAATATTCAAGCAATATCATGGCAAGGGACACCAGAAATGGGCTTTTACACATTGTACACATGATGAACACTGAATGGACAACTCACCTAGTCAGTGGAATCACTGGTGTTCTTTGCAGTGTTGAGGTGTGTGCTTCTCACTGAAAGCGACACACAGTCTGGAAAATAAAATAAAAATTAATATAATTACCAAGATGTTTCTGGGTGGGTTAGCAATATTCAGGCAATATTAGGGCGGTGGACACCAGAAATGAGCTTCACACATTGTACCCACATGGGGGAATCAAACCCAGATCCTCGGCATGATGAGTGAACGCTTTAACCACTAGGCTACCTCAAGACCCTGATTCAGGGTGTAAGGAAGTGATCATGTTTCATTCAACAATAAGATAAAGCTGTGTTTATATTTAACCACATGAAAGTACCTTAAATACTCTGAACAACACAGCCACTTTGTTCAACATCAGATTCAGAAATATTCCACCTAATTAATGGCAGCCACTTATTCATCAAGTCTGGGACAAATAAACTGGTGACTGATATTATAAGTAAATGAGTGAGTGAGTGAGTGAGTGAGTGATTTGGGTTTTACGTCACTTTTAGCAATATTCCAGCAATATCATGGCTGGGGACACCAGGAATGGGCTTCACACATATTGCCCATGGGGAGAATCGAAACCGGTCTTTGGCATGACGAGCGAACGCTTTAACCACTAGGCCACGCCACCCCGATTGATATTATGAACAGCATGCCATTGTTTTGGGCATAATGACCTACATTTGACCAAGATACAAACACTGACAACTTCATCCATTAGGCCACCTCTAGTCTGTCTCACAGTCATTGAACCACATTATTTTCCCTACAGCCCAGCCTTCCCTGCAATCTAGTCTATCTCACAGTCCCTGAACCACATTATTTTCCCTACTGCCTAGCCCTCCCTGCAATGTAGTCTGTCAAACAGTCCCTGAACCACATTATTTTCCCTACAGTCTAGCCCTCCCTGCAATGCTAAAACCCTGAATGAAACAAGTCTAGATTGCCTCAGGTTCTGACAGGTCTCCCTGGGGCTCATTTTCAATTTGAATGGGTGTATTTGTTAATATCAATATTATATATATATTCAGGAACTAAACATTAGTCTAGGTCACCTGATAAGACAGGGACCAACTTTTTCACATTCTCTGGGTGAAATACCTAACTTAGATAACGCAATATCAATCGTGTGAGATCATATTCCAAGTTTGTCATTGGTGGACCTAAGGCCAGATCATGACAAACTACTTTCTTCATCATGTGCTAACATGTCCATGTGATCATGAGGATATACAAAATATATCACAAAAAGTGGCGAGTAAGAAACAGATTTCTGCACTGATGGACAGGAGATACCGTTTACAGTATCTTACAACTCATTGTTTCAAAACAAATCATCAGATACAATTTGAAACAAGTTGCAAGATAAATGTTATCTGACAAGCACAAGTGTAGTAATTTCTAATGACCCAGAATCTTGACAAGGTCACAACTGATCACATGTTGTGAGAGTTCTTGTGATCGTCAGATTCTTCTGCAATGTCTTTCAAGTAGGCCTTTTTCTGCTTTAGATTTTCAAAAAGCTATCTTTAAATGAAATCCGTTTTAATGAACTACTTCCAGCTTTATTGACAAACAGTTGCTTGACAATGGTACAAGAATCTGTATCGCACTCACAATATAAAGAACTTGTTATCTATAAACTTTGTCCAACTTCCCAACCTCGAAGGCCAGACCAATTTTATTTCTTGTTTTACGGATCCGCTGGTCGTTTTTTTTCAAGAATAAGAAAAAAATAAAATTAATTTTCCCCCTCAAAAAATCAAATCCTCATGTTTTTATGGGCCAAAAGTGTAAACTTACCCCCAAAAAATTTTACATTGTTTTTTGACTCAGATAAACTTCATAAATTGCCAAAAATAAAATTATTTTAGTATTTAAAAGGAAAATTATTTTGACTAATGATTTTTATGTTTTATTTTTTTCTCTCCTGCCTTTAGGTTTTCTGAGGACAAAATTCTGTAAAACAAGAAATAAAATTGGTCTGGCCTAAAGTACTTCAAGAAGATAGTTCCAGATTGTAATACATATCTACCTCAGTCATAATGGGAAGATGTACATCAGAGTCTTGTCCTCGATAGCAATTGTAGTGCTACAACTGTCATAAGTTTATATTAAAGTAAGGGAGTTACGATCTTCTTAGGGTTACAATCGCTTTGAGGAACTGGGCCCTGCACAATTCCTATTTTGTTGAGTACCATATCAAGCTCTCACAATAAACTTGCATGAGTCTCTGATCAGGCTAACTAATGTCTGATTACCTTGCATTGATGAGTACAGGTCTGGAGATTAACATTTAATGATGAATTAACCTGGATCATTACTGGCTGTAAATAGGATAGGTCAGCTAGGTGCTGCCATTACTTTCTACAAACAGCTTTATCCTTGTCTATCAGTGAATGAGTCAGACTTGATGATCAGAGATCTGTTCATTGATGAATAATGTTACTTCACATCATGTTTGTGAACATCATCAAATTTGTCAGTCTCATCTCATCATCAAATATATTACCTAAAATTGGGGAGGCCAGGCACGGTGGATATCTTGTTTTAAGTTTTCTTTGTAAGACAAAGAAAAATCAGAGTTGAAAAAAAATATATTTGTAGTTGGAACTATATTGTCTGTTGTTACTATTTAGGAACTGACTAGCCACTGACATTGATTTTATGAAAATGTGCAATGTCCTGGTTTTTAAGGAATTTGAAGTACTTTTTTCAACTAAAGGATATATGACTGACATTAATGATGCATACCTCATTACTTGTACAAAATAATAAGTATGATTTGTTTGTTTGTTTGTTTTGTAATGTAATGCCACACTCAGCAATATTCCAGCTATATGGCGGCGGTCTGTAAATAATCGAGTCTGGACCAGACAATCCAGTGATCAACATCATCAGCATCGATCTACGCAATTGTGATACGATGACATGTGTCAACCAAGTCAGCGAGTCTGACCACCCAATACCGTAGTCGCCTCTCATGACAAGCATGGGTTGGTGAAGATCATTTCTAACCGGGATCTTCATGGGTTAGACTAACAACTAGTCTCTGAAATGAACATATTTTACTGAAAAAAGTTCATAGTAAACAAAATATATATAATGAAAAGGAGCCCTGAGACTTTCTTCATTTTCAGAAGCTGAGGAAATCTAGACTTGCCACATTTTCTAGACTTGCTTTGGCTTTCTTGGATATATTTGCTTCAGGGTCTGTACGAGAGACTATTCATGGGCATACTATGTATGAAGCTTGGCCTGACTTGGTAAATACACTGTTCGCTCCAAACAGGATATGTAGCATCCGGAATACACTTGATTAACTAGACATATCAGTTTCAGCGAGAACACAGACTGTGGAGCTCCATTAAATCATAAACAATTACTTATTGCCATGCACAGTTTACATGTACATATATCGATACTGACAGTTTGTAATCGACACCCTGGAACACAATACTAAAAAAAATGTTGAATAACATGCAACAGATGGATCATAGGTGCATATTTTTCTAAAAGCATGTCGCCAATATTTTATAATTTTATTTTTCTAGGTTCAACCAAACACTGACTGACTGACTGACTGAGTTTGGTTTTACGCCGCTTTTAGCAATATTCCATCGATATCACGGTGGGGGACACCAGAAATGCGCTTCACTCATAGTACCCATGTGGGGATTTCAACCAAATACAACATATAAAGACTGAAAATATATAAATGCAATTACATTCGACGGAAAACAAAAAAACAAATTAAATTTCCAAAATACCATATACTCTGCAACAAAAGAAATCACATTTATATTTTCCAGACAAAATTTAATGCTAAAAAGATTCATTTTTCAACTCCGTGTTCTCTAATTACAATTCATTGGGCATGACATATTACACGTTGCTTACAGTAATCAGAAATTGAATTTAAATAGGGTTGCATTTTAAGTCCTACATTCAACCAGCGTGACAAAATCCAAATAGTACAATAGCAATTGTTTGCAAGGTTTGAAAATCGACAGCATAAAGTACCAGGACAGAATACAGAAAGAATATATCTAGTCCTCATTGACACCACACCTACTAGAGATTAGAGCACCACCTAAAAATATACGTCAAACAGAAGTTGATCCATATTCAAAGTGGACCTCAATAACATGGCTTCATAGCTGACGAGGATCGACTCCAGGGAAACACCCCAACAACACCCAAACTACATTTACATCCTTGCATGATTCAGCTATTTGGGGCTGTTTACAGCTCACTTGAATCGTGACAGCCTAATATATTCGGCCATTCTATCAGGCCATTTTGTATCATTTCTCAAAAGAACTCCTCAAAACAAGAGAATGTAAATCAAGAATGAGATCTCACATAGCCTATTTGGTTACGTATTGCTACAATAAAAGCAACATATCACTTTACCGGATGATAGCTGATGTGGACCTCTCAATGAATAGCCGATGCGGAATAGATTACATGTGCTTGTTTGGGGCCCACAGAGTGGACAGCTCAGCCTTGAACATGTATCATAAATATGATGGGTGCAACTGAACTCTGATTGAGGGAGTTATATATACGCTATGCTCTGTCTGTTGAACCAGCTTCAACTGGGTTTGTAGGTAAACTGAAAAACTGTTTGTTTGGTTGGGCTGGTATTATACAAGCTAAAGCTGAGTCTGTCAGTATTGTATATGTTGTGTACATAATAAATATTATCAATAGACAATTAAAAAAAAGACTAAATCCTGAGCAAAGCATTCACGTAGCGTCTACTTTCAATTTAAGTTTCACTAACCTAACCTATTTCAACTGACGGTTTGTCAGATTCTTTTTTGTACTCTTCATATTAGAAACCAGACAGACAGAATTAATGTGTCAGATTGTTAAACATGTATGTATAAGAGCACATATATAATCATTAAACTGGACATTCAACATTTACATAAAATATTGATTTTTCAATGTTAGAATAACATAAATGTTTTTAAACAGGATGCCAAAAGTAGAAGATAAAGCTGCTCTGTTTTCAATTTTGTGGTCCTGTATTGTTGATTTAAGACTGCTAAA